GTGTTGTACTAATTAATGTTTTCATGACATCATCATCTTTATCATCGTTGAAAGAAAATAAATGCAATGTTAATTGAGGTTTCGTTTTATAGAAGATTTTGTAAAGAGCCCAAGTTCCATAGTAGTCTAACAAAAATTACATTTTTCCCCCTGAGATGCACACACAAAAAACTCAAAATGGTTTAAAGAAAATTGTGTTTCAAAGTCTTTGTTTCCCAGCTTGTCTCCCCTTGAGGAGATGATTGTTCTGACAGTTGTCACAGGCCACCTTGTCCAACACTGTAATAACTCACACCACTTAGCAAGTCTGAGGGTGGGGGGAGGTTGGTTCTTGGATCTCTGCTATTTGTCTCCAGGCCTCTGGGTACATAAGGAATGAACTCACCCCAGGTTGGCCTTCACCTTTACCATGAGTACACAAACCACATGCAGCAATGGTACCTGTTAGCTCATGCATGGGCAGTACATTTAAGGCGCCCTGTCTAAAGGGTGCTCTTTTAGTCTGAGTAAATGTAAGCCCATCCATTAAAACAGATATGAAATATCTTAACACACATAGATCCAAGTTATCTTGCAAATCCTGTTGCAAGAAAATATTTTAGGCCACTGAAACATAATTCAGTCAAAGAAATGAGAAGAGATACATTCCCTTCAAAGGATAAATACTTTTCCTCTGACTTTGATGTCAGGAAAGGTGGAAGAAAGTTCACACATAGTGATATATCTGTTATCAGTTGGCATATTTCAAAAGATAGAAAAAAAGAGCATAACATAATTTCCAATCACAATTATGAAGCCAAAGTAGATCCTATAAGCATCAAAGATTAAAAAGAAACAGCAAAAACAAGTTGAACAGTTTCAGAAAAAAAATCCTTTGGTAAAAAAAAAAGTAAAGCTTGCTCACAGAAGACAAAAAATTAAAAAAGTCAAAAGCACTTCACGCTGCTTTGCTGTGTGTCACACACAGGAGCAGGCCTCTTAAACACACCACTGAGGCACCTGTTACCTTCAAAATGATCTCAAATGCAAAAGTACCAGTGAAGACATAATCTGCATAACCTAATATCTGGAAGGAAACAAAGAATTGCAACTATTACTGCTACAGCTGCTTTAGAGAACATGAAGATTAATGAAAAAGCCATTACCTTTAACAGGATTTCAACAGTAAAGATGGCTGTGAAAGCATAGTCAAAGTAACCCAGTATCTGGAAAGGTACAACAATGAAATAAGAAAAAGGCATCCGGACAAACTCCACAGCCACATGCCCACGGGTAGAACCCCCACATGCAATCAGAGCCCTGTTCTCTGGGGATAAGCCTGCCATGCTGGAGCTAAGTGCAGAGATGCTCATAAATGTCCCACCTGGTCCAATTACAGTTCATCTTTATGACCAACAAAGAGCACTTGGAAATACTTACCTCCCTTAACCACTCATGCTGACTCTCTTCCCAGTCTCATGTCTTCGACAGAAACTCATTTCTAAAAGTGCTTTATTAATAACCCTTTCTCATCAGAGCACCACACTGACAAATTACTTGTGGCAGGCACCAGATAAATTAGAGTCTTACACACATTCTGATTTTTTAACTGCATTTTTGGCTGAATGAAATATGTTGCCATCCAGCTGAACTTCAGATTGGTGGAGAAATGTAAATAATGATGTAAGTGCCATTAAATGGAGCCGGCTTTCACACATCCCCTCTAATTCCAGCCCATTTAATCAGAGAGGTAAACACTTTTGCCCCACTGATGTGTGGAGCTGAGTGAGTCCTCAATGAAGAGTTTCACTTATCATCTTGCTCTGCATCTAATACCACTCACTCCATTTTTTTTTTTTTTTTTTTTAATCTCACCGGACCCATCACAAAGAAGAGACTGACCTGGCTTTTGAATGATCAGTCCAGGCTATTTTGTCCACATTCCTGAAAATAATGTCTACTTTCCAACTGAGTCCTGATCATGCCTCCTGGGGTATCTGCCTCTTCTCAGAACCATGGAGGCAGGAGGATGGGGCAGGTAGGCCAGCAAGAAGTCTGACTACCACTCAACTAAGGCTGCTCACAGGGATGCTCAGCCATAAAGACGGCGGCCGAGACTGCCGGTAGAAGAAGCTGTCTTGGTTGCTTATTGTCATGACAACTGCGCTCTGTGGTTTAAAAGAACTGAAGAGATCATAGCTGGAGAGACAGTGGAGATCTTTCATTTAGCGATGAGGAGATGCTGGGAAGGAGGTAGGGGCGCCTGTTTAGGCCACACAGCCAGCCATGGCATCGCTGAGCAAGGAGGTAGGCATGTGGAATGCTAGTTGAGAAACATGGGCCCTGTTGTTTAAGTGTGGGGTCCACCTCAGGGGTCCATTACTGTCCTATTGCAATAAGGTGAGGATCTCTGCTTTAAAGGCCAGATCTCCTCAGCTCAAGATCCCTCTTCAGAGGGTATGCCTTATTCAAAGTGCTTCCATTTTGGGATTTCTAAATTTTTCTGGAAATTTTCTGTGTATCTATGTTTCTAGCCAGGCAATGCAAGGTATAACCAGTACACCACAAGCCTCTGCACCCACCTCCTTCTTTCCTCCATGGTCACAGCAAGACTGGCACTGCTGAAAGTACCTGAGTGGCCAAGACAGACAATGCTGCCCACGAGCCAACAACTCAACCTGGTGCCGCTGGTCAAAGCTCTTAGAGATGCAAGTTGTTTTTTCCTCACTCAGCCTTTGTCCTCTTTTTCACTAATAACAGCTAAGGTTAAAAACTTCCCACCCCCCTCCCGCCAAATATACTGCATGAGTCCAGGGTATCTAAAGTAGTCAAACCCGTAGACACAAAGGGGGATGGAGGAGGTCGGGGCTAGAGTGGGAGGGGAAACAGGGAGTTGTTCAATGGATATAAAGTTTCAGTCACACAAGATGAAAAAGTTCTGGAGACCTGCTGTGCAACACGGTGCCTCCCATTATGAATACCGTCTTGTACATTTAAAAATTTGTTAGGAGAGTAGATCTCATGTCAAGTGTTCTTACCACAATTACAAAAGCTGTAGTATTTTAAAAGCAATACACATACATATATCTAAAAATCACAATAACATTCCTGGGAAAAGCAGCAGGGAAATAAAATCACGGAGAATTACGATAAAAAATAAGAACATTAAGCCTCAATGTAAATTAATTTTTAATATCTCTGCGTTCTAGACTAGCTCCTGACCTAGTCCATCATGTTTGTACCAATCAGCTTTTTCCCTTTGTCTCATTTTTATGCTGGAACTCAATGACACCCTGGGCTTTGTTCTATCTGAATGTTTAGATAGGAACAGTCTTTGAATCCCCAACAAACACCCTAATCTGTGAGTACAGATTAAGACAGATCAGGACGTTCATCTTTATATCAGCATCAACACGTGCCTTGGGGGAAAGTTCTTTTTATCATCATGTCAGAGTGCGTGTTTTATCAATCTGATAGGTTGGGTTTGCCGGGCTTCAAACCAAGATACTGGAAATGGAAAAACATAGCACAAGGCTCGGTTGTCACAACCGAAATCCTGGGGCACTGATCTGGTGATTTCTCTTAATCCTCAAATCTCTGAAAAGTTCATATACAGAGAAGGGTACCAACCAGGCAAGGCAGTGACACTTGATGGTCTCACACACTTGTGGGCCTCCTTCTCCTGGGAGGGGTTTCTTAGTTATCATCTGATACTAAGTACTACAGTACTAAGGCCAGAGAGGCAATAGGCTACCGGTCTTCTGAAGCGTCTCACTTTTGGATCGTTCTCAGTGCTGAATCAGTTGACCTGCTAAGGTGGAACTGCTGAGGCAAGAACTAATCTAGGTAACATTTCTGTCCAGCATAGATGCAGGAGAAGGGTGCTATCCCTAAGTTATGAAACTGACTAATAATAGAAAACTTAATGCTGTATTTGTTTCTTCATAAAATCACCTCCTGCCCCACCAAAATAATAGTCCTTCCTCTCCACTGAAGCACTCACCTTCGCATCCTATCATCTCCCTAACTTGTATTTCTCTTCAGTAGATTTGTGAATTTACATCAACATAAGATTTAAGTCTTCCCTCCAATGCTAAATAAGGGCTCCTGGGCATGTGACATAAGTGGTTTCGATTTTACTTTCTCTCTTGCTGGATGCTTCGACTAGGCAGAAATCTCAAAATAGGTGTGGCTGTTAATCTGACCAAGGAGGGACCGAAATGTTGGCAGCAAGGAATGAACGGGAAGAGAAGCAAGGTCCCTGAAGACACTATAAGTAACTGCAGTGTATTTAAAGTTTAAAATACATGATTCAATAAGGTTTGTCCCAATAAAACAAAACCCCTCTGGTACTTACAAACCTGAAATGTAAAATGCCTGCAGGTGATAAAGAGGCCTACTCTACCTTTTAGCCTCGCAGGCCTTTGTAGGCCCTGCCTGGATGACAGAAGTGACCAGTGTTGACCCCAGAGGGAGCGCTGTCCTCACTCAGTGACTTACGGTGTTCCGGAAGGAGTGGCTGCGGATGGGGTCCTCAGCGGCGAGGGAGGCACTGCTCAGCATGATGAAGACAAGGATGAGATTGGTGAATACGTGGTGGTTGATGAGCTTGTGGCAGCCCACGCGGATCCTGTGGGGAAAGCCACTACATGGACACAGCCCCAGGCAGGGCCCGAGCAGACAGGCCAGTGCCTTCAGCACACCAGGACCATTCCGTGGTGACAGGTCAGGCAGAGGACAGCTGTCTGCTGTGCCACCCATGTCCCGACCCAGCAAACCAGAAACGACTGACCATTAGCTCTTCAGAAATCGCAGACTGCATACCCTTGAGGTGCCACAGTTCTGTGTGGGTGTTCCACAGACTCCATTTACTGATTCCTTAAATGTGGAGATTATTGCCCTAATGATAGGGAAACTAGGCTGAAGCATGTGAAAGAACTTTCTAAAAGTGACACAGCTAGCAAGGAGCAGAGGCAGATTTCCAACCCAGGTCTGTGATATTTTTCCACTACAACATGAAACCCAGTGCTTTCTTTCCCTGTCTAGAAAGGAGCCTATGGCCAGAGCTCACTGCAGCAGCTCACAAAGAATGAAAGTTATCGCTTTCTTGTAGTGCAGTTGAGTGAGGCTTGGAGAATCTTCTGTTATATGGAGATCCTGTCTTAAGTGCTATTTTTTCTTTAGTTGACCCACAATGAGCAAGCCTAAGAAAGTGAAGTGAGAGTTACATCACCATGCAAGAATCTCACTGCACCATCACAGAGTCCTGCAGTCCTGTGAAGCAAGGCAGGGAAGCGCATGGCCAGCATCCCCTGTCCTGGCCCTCATGGCTCCATGAGCCATCAGAGCCTCTCCCGCTGCCCCTCTCTCCTGACATCTCAGGGGCTAGTTACTACTCTTAATCCTTTCGATATTTGACTTTAGAATTTAAAGAATTTTTTTTGGCCTACAGAATACATGTAGGTTTTCCTTTGAAAAGATTTTTTTCACTTTCAAAACTGAGTCACCTTCCTATAAATGTGCCCCCGAAGGCTGTTAGCACCTGAGTCTGGGGTAGGCCTTCCAGGACTCTGAAGGCAGGAGTGCTCACAGCTTTGTGGGGAAATCAGTCCACTCCTTCAATATATACAGATGCAGTAAGCTATAGGTGTCAGTAATGTCAGCTGAGTAAAAATTTTTTTAAAGAACACCCAAACTCTCAACAGTGATGAGCTGCGAAAACTATCATCAAATCTTCAAGTTTCTAAGGGCTGCAGCATGCCTTGTTTCCCACCTATGTCTCCCTGGGGCCTGTGAATTATTTAGAGTTCTCTGACAGTCAAGAACTACTTCTGCAAGCCTAGAAACCTTTCCAGGAGTCATTTATTCCCTCTGGCATTTCACTCAATCCCAGATGATTTAAAACCTAGAAACCAGCTAGTAAATAAGTGTGTGTTCCTCTTATAGCACCTGTGAGTAATTACCATCCTCCTGGTGAGCACATTATCATTTTAACACGAGATATTCTATTTTAAGGGGGATATTATAGAGCTGAATAGCTCAACCTGTAAAATATCATTGAGCAACATTATTTATTGCCATAAAACTCAATAGAGAAGTGATCGGCCAAGCTAGATCTCAAGATTAAGATGCCGTGAAGTTGGTCAAAAATTTCTCATTCCCCCCAAGCATTGTTATAGAAGACCCACTCATGAAGAAAGAGTCCTTTTGGTGGAAAACACTCCACAGGTGACAACCCATGGAACATCAGAGTCATGGGCTCCAGCTGAGCAGCAGTTATGTCACCACTGCTGACCCCAGTGCAGGGGTGAAGGGGAAAGAGACTCTGGAATAGCACTCTTCCCAGGACCTGGCCATACCCCCGCAGCCCCTTAGCCCAGGAACGTGAAGGCTAAAAAGAGATGAACAGAGGAAAAAGGCAAGGCTGAGGCAGGTGAGGAGTCTGGGGGACTCAGAGGCCTCCATCACTCAGGTACGTAAGGGGCCATGAGTCACCTTCCCTTACCCCATCCCCATGCACCCTCGAGCAACCTGTAGGGTCACAGTGAGATGCAGCAGCAATGTGACTAGAATGTGGGTATTTACGGATTGGTCTTGCTAAGAATGAAGAAAGCGCTCCCTTCGGGGATGGGGACGATTTTCTCCTTCATGTTCAACTCCGAAATCCTGCGAGGACGGGGTCCAGCGGGAACCTCAGGTTCATCCTCCTCCTCCTCTTCCTCCTCCTCTTCACCTACTTTAAAGAAGATACTTTTTTTTATAGACATAAAACAAAGACAGCATTTGGGTTTGAATCATTCTCAATTTCGCGTGAAAGTTTAGCTTAAACTTTAATAACATCTATCAGCTCGCATTGATGAAAGCCCTTTAGAATATGAACTGAGTGTGTGTAGGGAGGTGGAGAGCTGAGAGGCTCACCTGTCTAAAGAGCATGCAGAGTCGTGGGAATGAGGTCCCCAGCAGTTGAAGATCTGAGCACAGGTTAAAGGTGGCAGGCGGCAGTGGGATTCTCATTGCCATCCCCCCAGCACCCGGCTGTTCCCTTAGTAACCTCTTTGCTCAGCTTCAGCCTGAAAAGCTGTGTGGGACTTCAATTCATACATGATCAATCCCCTAGGTTCCTCTAACTCCACAGTGCCTCCTATATCTGCCATTAAAGACACCCGGTCAAATGTGAATGTGTCAGGTGAGTAGTAAGAACTGGTCACTTCCTAGAGATACTTCCCAGCAAAGGTAGGGCTTGTCCTGATCCACCTACACTCTCTCTCTCCACCACCTGGAATTTGAGTTATGCTAGCTGCCTGGGACCAAGAAAAAAAGCAGAGCTAACTGGCCCACAATGGACTGGACCCATGGTCTTGACTACCTCGGCAGCCCAGCAAGTGCCCTAGCTAGGCTAGTCGGCCACAGATGCAGTTGCTGATCACAGAGTGGTAGCAAAGCCATGCCACTCATGAGCTGAGAGCCTGTCTCTGGCCATACCTGGTACATCACAAGGTGGGTAGGGGTCCTTGTCCTCATCCTCTTCTCGGTAGTCATCAATTGTAACCTAGGATGACAGAGAGGCGTCTTGGGAGGAATGGAGCCTCTGACTTAAATGCATATCCTAAGACCACAGTGAAGACATAACCCTGCCATTCAGGGCAGAAAAGTTCTTTTCAAAGTGTGTGCTGCACGTGCTGCATGTGAGTGAGTGTGCAGATGCCTCAGATGATGATTCTGCTGAAGCCCAAAGCACTGAAGGCAGATGAGAAAACTTTGACCCAGCCATGGTTAGCCAGCACCATCCACACCTCTGCCTATCCTAGCATTGTCATACCTACTGTATAATGACTGCATTGTAGAGTCCTGCCTCCCTACTAGACAGTGAGCCCAATGCTGGCGGGGACCTCGTTGGTCTTATTCATTCTTGATCTCCGGTATCGGAACCCCATAAAAAGTATTTACTGACTCAATGAACAAGCAAACAAATGACTGAAAAACCCAGGGCTCTCATATGTGGGATGAAGTTTGACAGCACAACCCTAAAGTTTGATGATACAGACCCCTTACCCTTAGATCCCCTCTGGAGACAGACATCTATTAACAAGCCCAGTGGGTTTTAATCCCCACTGAGAAGACGCTAACACAGGTCAGGTCTGACCACACAAGTTCAGTACAGAAAAACTAAGTGATCAGATAAATATTTAACATACTGGTTCTCTAGTGAAATACAGGCTAGCAATCAGCTAAGCACCTAAATTCACTCAGAAGCCCCTGAAAGTCAGTGTCTGTAATATTGTGCCATACTCATATGCCAAAATGTCATGTAGGACACTTTCATGGTGTAAATAGTACACTTATGGCGATATCAACAGAACCATTTGAAACAAAAAGGGGAGAAGTATTTCAGAATGTATACCTTGTTGTCTCTGTTGGCTATCTGATTGACTTCCGGTTTGTTGTTCTTTTTATTTTCCAGACTTTCTTTCCTACAAAGGAGAGAAAAGAACACAAGAAACCTAGTAACTATATAACTATATTGCTGGGAATAAAAACACTAAGAAAGATTCTGAATCAACAGTGGCCGGATGAGGGACAGAATTTAATTGGAAGCAACCTTAACAGCAAGAGCATGGCACAACCCACACTCAGAGCTTCCTGTTCATTCAGTGCACTGGATTCATTACACTGATCATCTCATTAAAATTCTCATTCAAGAGCTAATCAGCAGTGAATGCATCGTTTACTTTATGATGCCAGAATTAACTGCAGTGATTCTTTAAGCATGAGGACATGTGATTCCCACTCTCAGCTCTGTGGGAATGAGAGCTAAGGGCCTGGGTTCTGCCCCAGATCCTATCCTATTCGGTCCGCCCCACGCGGCCACCCATAATCACCACAAAGCAGCAACATGGGGGCTGCAGCTGCTGCGGAGTCCGTATACCTCCACCAGGCCTTACCTGGTTCCCCAGGCAGCCCCCCACCAGGCAAACACCTCAGATGAAAATGGGGTTACCTAGCAATCTTTTTCCTTTCCTTTTCTTCAGCTTCTTCTTTCTGAGCAGTATTCAAACTTTCAGCATCAGCCAAATTGTCTACAGCGATGGCCAAGAAGACATTCAGTAGGATATCTAATTTAAACATTTTAAGGGTAAAACACCTTTCTAATGCAACTACATGTGGAAAACAAGGGCAACATCACACCCGTATGCATTCAGGACAGCTGGTAACAGGTGACTGTCTCCTAGTGTTATACTCACTTGGTAAAGCCAGAGGACCAGAGCCCTGTTTTTTGTTTGTTTTTAAACTAGAAATCTATAAAAGACATTCTGAAAAGAAGTAAAATGAAGGTTCACTAAAACCCAAGAAAATCTGCAAACATCAACATTTCCTTTCATATGTGTGCATGTGTCTCTACACATCTAGGCATCCATAGCTATGATACACACTGCATAAAACAATCTATGACATAAACACGGTGCTTTTACATACTCTGCATTTCACTTTACGCATTTTGGGTTGTTTCTTTGAAAATACACACCCATAACACAAATATTTAGGGCATGCTTGCCAAAATAGACTCCTTTAAAAGCTACACATTATTCAAATGATGATACCACTGCACAAGAAAGTCAGAGCCTTTCTTGTTTGAAATGGCCTTCGGAGTGTGGAGATACCTCACTCATTCATTCACTCCACAAATACTGACTACAGAGTGCCTGACTTATTGCCAGGTGGTGCTATTCTTTCAAATACTCCCATGTGGCTAAATCTTTGACTACTGTGGTTGAATTTTATTATTCCAAGCAGTAAAAAGTTAGATGATTGAATAAGTTATTAGGTTTTTGGCTTCTGCTATAATTTTGTATGCATGGTTTCCATGAATGATTGAGAAAAAAATTCTAAACAAGGTTCCCAAATCAGAAGAGGCCTGTTTCTTATTTGCAGTAAAGTACGTTTTTGAGAAGAACAGGAATCAGAGGGCAGGAAGTCAAGACGGCTCCTTTCTCTGACACTTCTCTCAGGCTGATGCACAGCCATCTGCATACGTGACTTCAGGAGCTCAGGGACCCAAGACAGGAGAAGCACACCACTATCCCACATGCTCTGTGCAATCTGAAATCCCAGGTGGGTTGCTGAACATGTAAACAAACATAACCTAACAAGGCACTGATGATGAGATAGCTTTCCAGGGAATTTCATGCTTGACTAAGTATCTAAAGAGGACAGAAACGTGAGAAAATTATTTAAGACTTTTGAAATGCCTTTGATATGCTAGACTATTTTTTAAATAGAACTTTGAAGAGGCTGAAATGGTATTCGTTTGTTTGTATAATTGCTCTTCCATCGAACATTTGAGGGCCTCCATATGCCATGTCTTGTACTAGGCAGGGACGACAGAGAGATAAAGCAGATATAACCAAAGGTTACAGGCTCATGAAGTTTCCAATTAAGGTAAAGAGAGATCTGAATTTTCAGAAGTCTAGGATTAGAAAATACCTCTTGGCAGGGAAAAGGAATAAATAAGTTGGAGAAAGTTACACAGCATGATATAACCAGCCAACGAATATTTGATTTTCAAAGATGTACAGATCAGCAAAACAAAATTAGTTTAAGGGAACTTAGGTCAATCTACTGAAGATTGACCCATTGGTTATGAAGGGTCTTAAGAAGACACAAATGTGCCTCTAACCTCCCAAGGATAAAGGCACGGAGAAGTACCTGGCATTGCCCTAAGCAACCCCATAGGACCTATACAGGAGATGTGACACTGAGCTGGGTGACCACTCGTGCAGCCCATGCACTGTCTCAGGCTCCTTTTCTCTAGCCTGCTCTCATTCCACAAAGCCTAACTGAAGCTCCACCTTTACAATGCTGTCCCCAGCGACGATGAAGGGAAGCAGATAATGCAGGTAAGGGCATTTACCTCCCTGACACAGCTGCTAACACCACTACCACAATGATAACAAGACATTGATAACAAAAAGCCTTGGTCAGCTGAAAGGATACAGTTACCACAAATGAAGAGTATGATGAAGTAGATGCAGACGATCATTCCCGAAGATGACGGCCCTCCATACGCCATAATGCCATCATACATCACAGCATTCCAGTCTTCACCTGTCAGAATCTAAGAAGCCCAAACTTGGATCAGTTCGCAAGTGGACTCACAACCCAGTTGTCCTCTCAGAGCTCTTCAGCGGCTTATACATCTGGCTTAAGCTGTCTTTCACAGTCAGTTTACACTGAACTAATCAATCTGTTATCCCACAGTTTTCAAAACATTATTTTTAATTGCACGAATAAATGAGTTAATTCTTCTGGTAAAAAATAAGGTAACATTACACGTAAGACATATATTCTTGGATGATACTCCAGCCCAGTTTTAGTCCGCTTCCCAAAGAGCATGCGATTGGCGTGTCTCTCTCCAGGACCTTTGTGGATTTAAACACACACACACACACACACACACACACACACACACACACACACGCAGCTGGTGTCTTCTCTGATTTATTAGACATAGTATCATACTATATGAATTTTCTGCAATTCGCTTTTTCTCTCCACTCAACAATATACTCTGGAGATTCTTTAAATTGCTGCCTAGTATTCCACATAGGTAAGCAGCTGTGGGAATGGAGAATTATATCTATGAATTTTCAGAAGCATGGAGTTCTAAATATCTTATGTAAATTTGCAAACTACCTCATGGGTCGATATCAATAACTGCCTGAAATTTCAAATATAACCTACTCTACAGATGATACTTGATAATTCAATCCATCATTAGGTAGAATCGGATGAACATGAATAGCAAGTTAAAAATACACTATGAGAGGGGGCTGCAGAGCATGCTCCTTCTTCTATCTGAACCAGATACCTTAAAAATTAAAACTGTCATGGATCACAATCAAACAGAAAAATGGGCAAACGATTTGAAATGATAAGGTAATTCACAGAAAAGGAGCTTATAAATAGCTTTTAGTCACATGAAAAGACATTTGGGTTCACTCCTGATAAGTGAAATAAGAAGTAAAAACTACGACGAGATGCCATTTTCACCTATCAGTCAGGCCAGCAGTCAAAAAGTCTGAAGACCCACTGTGCTGAAAGGAGTGAGGCAATGATGGGCAAGCTCCACACTCCTTCGCTGGAGGCTGAATTAACACAGCCTCAAGGAGAACACCTGGGCAAGAGCATCAAAGCCGAAAATGAACACACACCCTTTGAACCAGCAGCTCCACTTCAGGAAATTTATCCTACAGATTTATTCTCACACGGGTGCCCCATGGTGTATGTTCAAGGTCACCCGCCGAAGCAAGACTAGACGTAACAAAATAATCATCGGCAGGGGGCTGGTTCCATGAATTATGGCACATCCACACCACAGACTTCATAAAACATTGAAAAGGAGAAGGCAACCTTTTATGGACCAGTAAGGAAGGTTCTTAAGGACATTTTAAGTGATAAAAAGCAAAACGAAAAACAGCATGTAGAATGAGCTACCGTCTGTGTAAATTCATCTGTAGGCAGGTAGGTAGGTAATTGATTTTTATCTGAGCAAATACATCTCAAAGAATACACAAGAAGCTATTTAACAGTGGTTACCTCCTAGAAGGGGGACTGGTAGGTGGGAACTTGTTTACTTTATATTCTTTTGTAACATCTGAATTTTGTTTGTATTACAAAAACTACCCCCACCACACAGGTTTCTCTGAAAGAAATCAGAAAAACAAGTGACTAAATGGCCCCCAAATTAAGTATGATTCAAAAAATTAAAACCATAGCCTATAGCAGTGACAGAAATTCCATTTACCTCAAAATGACCAAGTAGGAAAGAATCATAGAGATCATTCCCTCTAGCCTGTTTTTTTCAGAAAAGAAGAGTGACTTTCCAAGGTCACAGAGCTGGGCAATGAAAGAGCCATGATGGGACCTGGATGCCCACTGCCACCCCCACCAGCCTGCCTGCCTGCCTCTCCAGCAGGGCTCCTAAGCTCCCTGACATCGCATGTGAAAAGCGACAAGGGTGGATGGGTCTTTTCAATTTATCTTCCAGGCTCTGTCCAAGGAAGGGCTTCAGCTCACAACAGGAAGATGAAGAAGAGGGTTAGAACACCTCAGCTTAGAACCAGCTGGGGCGGAGACTGCTGCTCTGAGCACAAAGCCGCCTGAACACCTCTCACACTGTCGCTCCCTTCTCAGCCTCATTGCTCACAAAGGCCCGGCAGCACAGACGCCTTCCCTGTCCTCGTTATATCATATGAGGGCAGACAAAAAAGGGGCAGAAGGCTGTCACAACTCTTTTATCACCCTGATTCCTCTGACTATACACGGAAGCATTAGGCCTTTAGAATTCACTTCTTTGCATAAATCCCTTATGGCCAGGATTACAAAACTTGCCTGCGATCAAAAATTAGCAGAGAACCAGAGAGGATTTTAAAGCCTATCTCACAGAAACCCCAGAAATCTTGCAAAATTAAACAGAAGGTTTTGGTTTATTATTATGTAATATATCTAGTGATCTTACAAAACATTAAATCACATCACATAGATACCTGGATTCAGATGCAAAACAAATAACTTCAGTGGCACAAAATTTATCAGAGTCTTATTAGAGCAGAGGTTACTAATGAAAATGGAATCATTTTGTCTTATTGAGCTGTGGACAGACAGGAAGCCAGGTCATACATAACGTGCTTCTCAGGGAGAGGCAGAAGGGAGGGCTCACCTGGAACACCGTTAGAAGTGCTTGAGGGAAATTGTCAAAGGTGCTCCGCTTGGTCTGCGTTTCGTCAAAATTAAACTTGCCTCCAAACAGCTGCATCCCAAGCAGGGAAAAGATGATGATGAAGAGAAAGAGCAGAAGCAACAGCGACGCAATGGACTTCATGGAGTTTAACAAGGATGCCACTAAGTTACTCAGGGACGTCCAGTGCCTACAAGTCAAGACGAGGGCGTGAGGCCAGAAGGCAGTGCAGCCTGACGGTGGTGCAGCCTGTCACCACCTGGTATTGAGAAAACACCCACAGCGAGATACACATGTCCTTACCTAGTCACTTTGAAAATTCGTAAGAGGCGCACACACCGAAATACGGAGATCCCCAGGGGAGACATGATTTCCAGCTCCACCAAGATCGTTTCCGTAATTCCGCCACACACCACGAAGCAATCAAACCGATTAAAGAGAGAGACGAAATATGCCTGGAGACCCAAGCTGTACATTTTTACTAGCATCTCGCAGGTGAACAGAGCCAGGAGGACTTTGTTCGCGATATCTGGAAAGACAAAGGGGCGGGTGTCCTTGGGATCTCATCGTGGAAGTGGCTCAGAGTTCTCGTCTCTCCTCACACCCCTTCCCACCAGTCCCTGTTGGAATGCCCAAGCACCTCTACTCCTCCCTTTGCTATTGCCCCCTTTACAGAAATGTGACACTAACATCAATGGTCTGTTTGTCTGCCAGGTTCTAGTCCTGCTGCTGCTACCACCTAGACATGTGACTAGGGAAGTTCCTGATCTCACTGGGCCTTGGTTTTACTGACTATAAAATGGGGGAGCGGGGGGTGGCTCACCACATAATCCCTGGTAGTTTCTAGCTCTAAAAGCCTATAATTTTCCATTTAGAGCATCATATTATATTTTCTGTTTCCAAAACAGAAAGACCTCTGGTTTTGTTACACCACCACCATATAAAAAGCAGTTGCCTATCAAGGTCATTTCTAACAGCAGAAAATATCTCCCAAAAGGCTGGAGAGTTAGACAGAAACAGAACTGACTTGATGTAAGCCAGGACTTCTCACTGGCTCAAAACTGTCAAACTCAGAAGGGCTGTCTCTAGGGACAAGCTCCCGGATCACACTGCTGAGACATTAAAGGCAGGGGAACAATCACCACTTGCCAAGAACACTGCAGAGGAAAATAAAGCTTCCTTTCAGTGAAGGCAGGGAGAAGGGATCCGAGGTCCCTTCCAGCTGGAAGATTTCCTGATCCTAGGTTGTCACTGGGTTAAGACAATGAGATGTCCTGGCATTAATCAGCTCCAAGGTGCTTCATTCACTGCCCAGTAGACTGTACCTCCACTCCAGGTGCACCCAGTGTTTGGACAGTGCTACCACCTTCTAAGTTAATGCTCACTAGAAATGTTCCTACACTCTGTTACGCATCGAGCAGGTAAGGCTAAACTGCAGTTGGACAGCCTTGGGCATCGCACATTTGGAACAAAAGGAGAATGGCCTCTACTTGTACCTTGAATCTGCGTCAACCAGTCAGGCTGGTTATAGTGCTCAGAGGAAATGGTTAAGGTGTTGAGAAACACCAGGACAATAACCAGCCAGTAAAACGTGACAGACTTCACAGCAGCCCTACATCTTCTGCGATTGAATCGGTTCCAGCGACGCCAGCGTCGGCTGAAAGAGAAGCAGACGTTACTCACTGAATGACAGATACAGCATCTGAGTATCCAATAAATATCATTGAGAAATCATTTGTCTTTCACTGTGGAGGTCCAGACTGGAGTTGGGGGAGGGCGGTAAAAGAAAGACAAGAATAAAGGGCAAAGAAATTAACAGACCTCATATACAAATTATGTTGGTCTTAAAATACAACTTTTTAAAGTATTATATCTTGATGTGATCATGTTTTCAGTTTCCTTCCTATGGCTTTAGATAGCTCCATATATAGCCCTCAAACCAGTTAGAACATCTAGATATTCATAGATTCATGTGCAGATGCAAAACTGAGCTATCAAGCAGATGTAGTTCCTATTCCCACCATATGGTACATGGATCTGTTTGTGCTATTGGTGCAGAGAGCCACTTAGCTTATCATCAAATCTCTTGCAGCATCTCAATCATCATATAGAATTCATCGGGCAACGAAGTGCTCCAAACCCACAGATTTCCTCTTAGGGAAACTTTCAGTCCCTTCTTAAATCTGGAAGATTCCTCTGGAGCCTGGCAGAGTTGTCAAGGCTGAGCAGGACATGAGTCTTCATACTGAGTCATCAGGTGCCCTTTCTAACTAGTGATGCTCAAAATATACCTTTAGGAGAAGAGCCAATATTGAATCGTGTTTTCATACAAATAAAATGAACTGAGCCAAACAGACAAGTAGCATGTCCTTTACTGACTTTCAATTCCTGTTTGTAATTAGAGAAAGTATTCTCTCCCTTAGCCTGTCTCCCTGGGGAAAACATTCCCTGCCACAGGATGGTTTGGTGAAGTGCACCCCAGGGCTGTACTCACTGACCGGAGGGGACAAGGGAAGGCACTTTCTCTAAGGGCCTGAGTCAAAGGATTGTCCGAGCTGCAACCCTGGCTGCCTCAGCTGTGATGCTGTGGTAAAAACACCATAATCCAGGGACTGAGCAAAGAAAGGTTGTGCTAACTCTTCAGCAAGACCTGAAACAAGCAAGGTGCATTTCAGGCAGCAGCTGGAAACATGACCAGCAAAGAAAAATTCTACAGAGGACAGTAAAGACTGTCTCCATTCAGTCTGGATTTCCCTTGTGATGCATAGTTCACTATACACAAGCAAGGTGTACTAGTCTGAATAAGATCCAACCTTGGTGGGTTTATTTATGCTGCAGTGACAAGTCACAGGTGTCTCTCAAATCCAGAAGACCTTATTTGTCACGTCCCTGAGATCCTGCAGCACTCCCCAGCTTGCCCCTCATGGGTGCTGAGAGCTAAGGCCCTGCACCAGGCACTGGACATATGGAGCTAAAGAAGACAAGGTCCCATGGCTCCTGTTCCTGTAAAGCATGCAGGGTCATCAATTATAAATCCACATCAAGTGCTATTCCCAGGGTACTTGGCACAGGAGCAAAGAGAAGGGAGCTGCAATTGCTCTTTGAAAGAGGCAGGAAGCCTTCTCCAAAAAACGGCAATTTGGGCTGGCTCTCCACAGTTGAGTAGGAGTTAGCCGGGGGGCAGAGGAAAGGGTGCTACACGCAGAAGAGGCTACGTGACCAAAGCGACTGAAGTTGGCAGAAACAGTGTGTGGTACATTTGAAAACAGATAGCAGTCCAGTACTACAAAGGAGGGAGTATGGGAGGGGTGTCAAAAGATGAAGCCAGAGGGTGAGCAGGCCACCAAATATGAAGGAATTTATATGTTCTCTAGCAACAGGGAGTCATGGAAGGGCTTTCCATTTGAGATACAATTTACATACAATAGAATTTACTTTTTAGGTATACAGTTTGAAAGCACCACCACAATCAACATATAGAATATTTCTATCACTCAAAGAAGTTTCTTCGCAGCTCTTTGTGGTTATTCTCTTCTTCTCACCCCAGCCCCTGACAACTAACTGATCTGTTTTCTACTCCTATTGTTTTGCTTTATCCAGCATGTTTTATAAGTAGAATTATATAACATATAGCCTTTTGAGACTGGCTTCTTTCACTTAGAAAAAATACTTTAGATTTATTTGTATTGTTGCATCTATCAATAGTTTTTTTCCTTCTTATTGCGGAGCATTATTCTATCATACTACAATTTGTCTACCCATTCACCATTTGATGAACATTTGAGTTATTTACAGTTTGGGGCAATTATGAATAAAACTGCTATGAACACGTATGTAAAAAAAAATTCTGTGCAGACATCTATCTTCATTTCTTATATAAATACCTGAGAAGTGAAATTGCTAGGTCATGTGGTAAATGTATATTTAACTTTATAAGAAACTGCCAACTTCTTTCAAAAATAGCTGTGTCATTTGACATGTAGGAATGTATGAGAATTCCCATTGATTTGCATCTTTGTCAGAACTTGGTATTGCCAGATTTTTCAATTTGATCCATAGGTATAAAAAAGTTTTCTAATACATATGTAGTGTTATCTCATTGTGCTTTTAATTTGCATTTTCCTAATGACTAATCGTCATTTTATGTGCTCATCTCCCATCCATATCTCTTCTTTGGTGACATGCCTGTTGGAATCTATCGATAATTTTTTATTGGGTTGTTTTCTCATTATTGACACCATTCTCTCTATATACTGAATACTAGTCCTTTATCAAATATGTTTTGCAAATATTTTTTCTTCCAGTCTGGAGCTTTTTATTTTCTATTGAAGAGCAGTACTTTTGATTTTGATGAAGTCCATTTTTTTTTTTTTCCTGTTATGGCTAGTGCTCTGGGTATTATACCCAAGAAAATCTTTGCCTAACCAAAGGTCACAGAGATTTTCTGTTTTCTTCTAGAATATTTAAAGTTTTAGGTTTTACATTTAATTCTACTTTCAAGTTAATTTTTCTATATAGTGGTAAAATGTGTTTAATTGAAAAAGAACATTTATATGGAATACACAAATCATAGATATATAGTTCAGAGTTTTTACCAACTGACCACGTAACCTTCATTCAGATCAACAAACAGGATATTACTAGCACCTCAGAAAACCTCTTGAACCTCCTTCTGTGAAAAACTGATAAGGAGAAAAATGACAAGAAGTATCTCTCATAGAGAAATGATTCTGGGAGGGAATATAAAGGGTTGATCAGTGGCAAGAAATTGTTCATTGTTGCATCTTGTTGGTTTGCTTGCTTTGGGGTGAGATCTTTGGCGCCTACTACACTGTTCGCCAAGACAGTGTGTGATGTTTACTGGGCACACTGATCTTCTATGTGAATATTGCAACCCATAGAGTAAAATTCAAGTCTAGAGCAACTTCATGTAAAATTCCTGAGTAAGAAGGTAACGAATCAGCATACATGCTAAAGGGAAAGTAGAAAGAAGATACTGACCTGAGCTTGGATTTTGAGATGGCTTGACTGAAAGACAAAAAAGAATATGATTCCTGTTAGGAAGGCTTGATCATATGCTTCCTCCCTCACTTTAGCTGAGATATCGGAAAAGCCATGCACAGCAACCCGGACTCAGCACCCCGGTTCCCACGGCGGGCCAGCTGGGGTAAGAGTAGAGCAAGAGCGAGGTGCTACCAGTGCCAGGCGGGCCAGGCTTGACACCCTCCAGCACCCAGGCAAGAGAAGACTCTTAGCTAGTTGCCCTGAGCAGCTCTGGCATAGGCAGCGATGCCAGGGTTCCTTCTCCCCCAACCCCGCATTCTCCAAACTGAAGTCAGCAGGGCTTGGCCTGCCTGCAACTCAGCCACTCATCTCAACAGCAGCACATGCTGCTACCATAGAAAAAGGAGCACTGGACTAGGAGTCCTGGCTCTGCTCTTCACTAACCGTGTGAGTCTGGGCAAGCAGCACAACTTTTGAGCCTCAGTGTTCTCATCTGTAAAATGAGAAATAAACCTATCCCCTGCCTACTTCACAACATTGTAGGGAGGGCAAAGCAAGAGAAAGGAGGCAAATACACTTTGTAAACCGTTGAGTATCCTGCCCATAACACATCATTTTTATGCACCTCTGACAAAGAGATGGAATTCTCTTAAAAACAACACCTGTACTTTGCAGAGATAATACCTAAGAGATAGCAGGAAGCAAACAAAACAAAACTGCATGCCCCCCACCCCTGCCACCAAAGCAGGCAGTACTCTGCACATTCCACCCGGCTGGACCCCTTGCTGCTGCAGCCCAAATCCCCCAGAAAAGCCAGTGGGGGGTTAATGTGATGGCGCCCTTCACTGTTAAGGAGAGGGTGGTGCAAGGCTCCAAAGAAAAAGTGCTATGAGCAGAGGAGGGCAGGGTCTCATCATCCAGCAGCTATGCATGAGGTTCAGAGAACCCATGAGTGAAGGGAAACTTAAATATGCAGCACATTCTAGTCAGCCACTCTGCCGCACAAGCTCTTCTTCAAAGCACCGATGCCAGCACCAGACTCAGAGAATTGGGCCTTTTACCCCCACCGCCGACACTCAGAGGGCCCAGCCTTGGCCGCACCTCTTCTTTTCCACCAGCACCTAGTGGACACAGCGGAATGGCGAGTTACCTGGCCCGCCCTGCAGCAGGCTGCACCTCAGTGGGATGGGCTGCTCTGGAGGAAAAGGCACGTGAAGTGCCGGGGACCTGGGACAGGAGGAGGACCAAGGGGTCCAGCGTGAGCCCACCTCTCTTCTTGCCCCCGAGCTATGGTCTCAGGGCTCCACTGAAATCTAGGGGTTCCTCCTCACACGTGCTTCTATCAGACAACGGGAGGAGCCAAGAAGGCAAGCGGACCCTATACTCACCAGAGACTTCCACAGCGGCCTTGGTTCTCGCCTTCACCACTTACGTTCTCCGTGTTCACAGACTCTGTCTCGCTGGTCGGCATGCTGGCTGTGGGGAGAAGAGAAAGCTTTAGGCGGTGCGCTGGAAGCAGTGCACACCCAGGAGTGGGCTGGATGTAGATCTCTGCCACCGGGCAGAACTTCCGGGAACCTGGGAGGAGGGCAATGAAGAGCCCTCAGGGGCTTAACCAGCAAACGGAAGTGCTGAGAAGTCAGGTCCCTTCACTGCAGGAGAACCTCTGCTTCCTTGAACTGCCGAGAAAGCCTACGGAGTTCCCATCAGAAGGAAATTCTGTCTATCCAGAGGTGTCCCAAGAAAAGTAGCCTAGGTACCAAAGCCTGTTTCTGTGCCTGGTACCAGCTTATTCTCCTGGTTTCCATATTTGTACTGAGAAGCCACCAAAACATCTCAATTACAGCTGCATCTTGGCTTGCTCCAAGATGTACTCTAGGTGTATTCTAGAAAATCTGTGAATAGACCAATATTTCATTAAAAAATTTCTTATTTTAAATATACTGAACAAGAGGAGAAATTATGGATAAACAAGTACATGAAGGTCTCAAGCAAAAAATCTTTTTTAAAAATTTAAGAACTCTACTCATTTTTAGCTCATTTATCTGATGTCTAAGTTCTGCTGAGCTCTTACCAAAGACACCAGGACTAGGGCACTGAGGAAGTAGTCTATAAGTAGATTTCCTCTGAACCAGTGACCAAACGGCAAAGGTGACTGGTCCCAGTGCCACCAGAGTCTCTAGGCATGTCTCACTCCTCCATGACAGGATCCTGAGCAGGAGAAGTGGATGAGGTTTCAAAGTGTACCTCCAACTATTGGGAGGCCCAGGGACCCACCCAGAGCCACCATTTCGCACTTGGGTATTTCTTCTCATCCACTTGATTCAACCCTATATAAACATCATGAGCATGTGCTAGAGACCAGGCGGTGAAGGAGGTGTGGGGCACAGAGAAGGACATGGCACTGCATCTGCCCTGGAGGACAAGACAAGTGGGAAAGATAAGACCTGGATGGATTCCAATTAACTGTGAAATACAGAAATATAGACCCACTTCCCTCAGGGGTCTGGGCAAGAGTTCTACAAATGCATAGTAAGGAATGACTAATTCAGCTACAAATGCATAGTAAGGAATGACGAATTCAGGGTTAGGAGAGATCACCGAAGATCAAAATGTGGGAGAATCACCCAAACACATGCACTTCTTTTCCCTGATGCATAATTTTGAACTGTAGCAATTGTTTTTACAGACCTTATGGTATCAACAGGAAGAACCCTCTGTGGGCTCTGCCATATGGCTCCTCTTAGCAAGGATGCCTCGGTTTCATCCACAAAAACTGGTGTTGGTGCCTGAGCACTGTGGTGGAGATTCTGAGGCTGGCCCAGGCACAGAGGGCAAAGGAGCTGGATCAATGCACTCCATCTGTGCAGCAATGTGTCTGCTCACCCCGCTCTGGTGATAGACATGGTGTGAATGACGCGGATGAAGGGGGACCTGAATCAAAGGGCCCAGAGGTCTGAGAAACATCTTTTCTGAGGGCAACAGAAAAGATACCTTTCCTTTGGTGAGCACCCAGTGCACTGAGCTTGGCTAGGTGGGAATCTCAATAGTCATGCCCAGAAACATTTAGGCAAAGGTTTCAAAGGCAAAGACAAAATGAGCAGAATTATAGACCCACATCACACAACTGGTATTCTTATAGAAAAGCCTTTTTCCTCCTTAGTTAACTCAAAAGAAACCAACTATAACTTTTTTTCACTACTCCATGCCAAAAAAAAAAGAAAGAAAAAAGAAAAAAAAGAGAGAGACAAAAATAAACCAAAAGGGGGGGCTGGGGGGGAAGGAGAGACAAAAATAAACCAAAAAATCCCAAAAATATAATCACGGAGAAACCTTTAACAGAAAGCTCCAGAGAGAGAGAGAGAAAGAGAGAGAGAGAGAGAGAGACAGAGACAGAGACAGAGACAGAGACAGAGACAGAGACAGAGACAGAGACAGACAGACACACACACGCACACACACACACGCACACACACACGCACACACACACACACACACAAAGATGATCATGCATTTCTCTTCTCCATGCCTGTCCCATCCCATGCTTTGACTTCAGCAGAAAGACTAAAAAATTGTAAAATCCAATGAATTTCACTGTTGTAGGTTCCTCTCCCAGTGTCACTCTTCTCTTCAGGAACAGGACAAAGAAAACGTGACCAGGAGCCATCTCTGTGGAATGTTTTTCTTGGTGGTTATTGCTACTACTAAGAGGACAGAAGCTGAAAGTAGCCTGACATGGGGTCGGGGGGTTCTCAGGCCCCACTTAGGTCCTGACTCTGCCCTGGACAGAGGCCCGGCTCTCTCCAGGCTTCAGCGTCCTGTCTGTAAAGTGCTTACTCCACACTCCTGATGGTCACTTCCATCTCCCACAGTTTACTACTTCATGGTTCTAATAGTAATCATATTGTAACTTTAGTTATTACTTCGAAAAGAACAAACTTCTTCTGAACAGGCTAACCCTCTGTGGCTTTGGGGCCATGTCCTGTGACGATATCCATATAGTTGCTGCATTTCATTCCGAAATAAAGCTTAACTTTTCAAACAATCTGACTGAAACAGATTAAAGTACATACTGCCTATGGGGACGCAGAGGGAAGCAGAAGGAGAGGATAGTGACTATGCTAAAATTTGGTGACCTCATCTGGTCTCAGAAATGGACCTTGATCTAGTCCCTGAATCTCAGCAGAGGAGCCAGGCTGTGACTGGGGCCCAGGCGGCCTCTCCGTCTACTCTGGCCTCTCATTCCCTGCCACAGGATAGCATTTCCTTTTTCACAAAAACAGAAATCATCAGGCCCAGTGGGCATAACCAAGGAGCTTGTATGTGCATTAAAACATTTCACCCTTCACTTGCACTAAGCTTTCATTTTTTTTAATGTTAATAAATTGGTACGAGTTGCACTTTACTTAGCCCCAATACGATCTCATCTATGTTTTAAAAAATCGAAACAGGAGAATCACAATCTGTTAGAACTGGAAGGGGCTTCTGAGATTACATGAACAAACTGTGATTTCACAGATGAGAGAACTGACTGACTCGCCTAGGGACACACAGCTCAGACATGAGAAAGCTTTTCTGCTTTCCACTCAGGATCTTTCCCATCATGCCACACCACCCCTGTGGTTTTGGTATATACTTGAATACGTTGGTATACACTTTGGTGTTGGTATATGTTGGTATATACAGTGGTATTTAAAACAAATCAAAAAGTTCCAACAGTCAAGCAAGCCTCTTATCCGCCAGCATTGGTTTGTTGTCCTGATGACTTTTATTAACCCCTAGAAATCTGACAGATAGCCAGACCACTTATTGGAGATCAGCCCAGCACATGGGGATAGTACAAATTTCAAGTTGCTAAGGTAATTATTGAGGCTTTATAAAAATCCAAAGAATTATAAAAACCCAAGTAAGTAAACCCATGGGCAAATAAATAACTGGAACACAGGCCCTTCTCCCTAACCTGCTGCCATAGCATCATGACTGTCCCATCAGGTTAACCCTCTTTCCCCTGCAGAGCAGGGATTCACTGTTAACTGCTGACAAGTGGCCGAGCCTCATTAGGGATGCAGGCAGAGAGATGTCCTCAGATCTCACCATGTCACCTGCCTGTACCAGTCTCTCCTGCAGAAGCAAGCTGGGTCCATTGGTATGTGAAGAAGATGTAAGTCCTTTCTGCTCACACATTCCAGGGGATTTTAGAGCTTTGTTGTGCAAGTTTTAACCTTTTTTTTTTTTAAATATAAATTTGAAAACTATTTCACTGCGTCTGGGTGAAACCAGGCATTAGAACAAGCCTGTTGCCTGTAATGGGTGCTGACTTGCACTGTAATTTGCCTTGCTGAAAATCTGGGGAAGCTCAGGGCCTATGCTTTATGATCTATTCCAGGTACCGGGATCTCTGGGGAGAGCTCCAGGATAGACACTTAGGCCTCGAGTGTGGACACACTGAGAAAGACCCCTGAGTGCTGCCGGTGGTGAGGAGATAAGGCCAGACAGCAGCCTAGTTCACGCTGGACTGTAGGTGAGAGCTCCCAGGGCCTTCTGAGGTGCTCTGTGTGGAGGGTAGGTAACATTATTTCTCTTTAAGATCTTGTACTTAAAGGTGAGGGTGAGGGCCAGGACACCAGCATGGGCAATGCCACACAAAATAAACCAGGGAAATCCACTGTTTCGTAGGCCAGCACAACAACGAGCGTTTTCACCAATGTGTAAACATTGCTCTCTCTACTGTCACTCTGAAGAACATATTTCTCAACCAGATCTGCTTGACTTGCGAACACAGAGGGAAATTAACACACAAATGAACACACACACACACACACACACACACACACACACACACACACACGGTGGAAGAGCCTGTGTGTGGGTCCAAGTAGGCAGCCCCAAAATTATGTTCTTCATTAACAGGCACAGCAATATCTCAGATCAGCTTCCTTCAGTGGTGGAGACTACTAAAGCCAAGACTCTAGAAGAATGCCAGAGAGGCTTGGTCTTTGTCATTGGTGATGTGGAAAGAAGTCCCTTTTCCTACTGGGCTTATTTACCTAATCTAGAAAATGAGCTGTTGGGTAAAATATCATCTCTAAGACCCGTTTACCTCTGACCTGCTAGAACTGTATAAAGAGGAAACGCCTACAGGCTATCTGGTTTTACTCCCAGCATCAAGGGGGTTTTCCCTGGCAATCCCCCAGTTCTGCATGGATAGCAGGGAATGAGAAGGACTGTGAAGCTCCTGCCTACCCCTCAGGATGGTCACTAGGAGGAGTCCAACAGCCTGCCCAGGAGAACTGACTCCAAGTCATCTCCAGGCAGAACACCACGGGGACTGGAGCAGCACAAGAAGGAGCAGCCCCCAAGAACCCTCTGCCAGCCACAGGAGACTGGGACCCAAGCCAAACTGAGGCCAGAGCTCCCCAGCTCTGCCTGGAGCCTGTCACACCAACAGCCTTGTTCATAGATGTCCTGAGCCTCTA